GTAAAAGCTCGGAACCTCTTGCTAAACCATTACAAGTTCCAATGACAAATAAGGGGATCGCTTGGCGTACTGATGTTGAAGAAAAATTTGGAAAACCACCAGCTGATTCATGGGCAAACACAGTAAAGCCAGTCAGTTGGAAAAAGTCAGCTCTTGAACGCTCATCTGGTGCATATAGCGAAGACGAAGAGTTATTGGTATGGATGCGTGTTTCAGCACTACCAACATTTCGTAAATTACATCGTCTAGTCACTCATGTCGGCGCTTTTTCAAATGGTCTACCAGCTGGAATTTATAGCGTCGATATTGAGTACTGTGAGTACTGACTTACTTTTACTTTTTTTTCGACGTGACTGACATGTTTTTCGTCAGTTAGATCCTCTCAGTTAACAGAAATTTAGTTTCTTATGCTCAAGGTTACACTTCTTTCATTCATCTGGTGTAATAGTTTTTTTACGTTATGGTCCTTGTTGATAAGCTGACCGTTTAAATGGCAGCTGGATCTTGGATACGACAGTAAAGCTCGGTAGAGTCATATAAAATCCCATATAAGGTTATAAGTCACTCTATCTCTTGCTTATTTTTTCCGAACTATTGTGTTGTTTTTAACCATTTTGCTAACCCGTTTTAATGTGTGATGATAAGAGCAAAATTTTTAGATCGATAGCAAGCGTTATTTTATTTAATTAGAACAAATAAACTTGAAGTGGAAGCAGAATTTATTCTATTTTACAGCTTCTTACCTGCAAACTGTTTCAAATGGCAACAAATTTGTCATAAGTAATGTTTATGGAAATATGCTTTGAACGTATAAATTCACTTATATTTATAAAATAGTAATTAGACTACGCGTAGAAAACAAAATTTGTCAACTACAATTGAAAACGTGATAATGTATGTGAGTTAAAAAATTTTGATCGTAAAAGGAATGAACAAATGGCTTAAGAAGAATTAAACCCTAATAGACTGAGGAATTATATAATTTCTCTGAGTCATTTGAAAAAAACTTAAGAGGATAAACCAGTAGTATTAATTTGGTAATTGAAAACTAATTAATAGGATAGTGTAGGTTTAGTCATCTTGTTTTTCTGTTTGGAAAGGTCGAACTGAAAGATTCCTCAGAACGCAGTGGAATTGGCATCCTTCGTTCCTTTGGTATCGTAATTGGTTAAAGAATATCTGTTTAGTGACCGATGTTCATCAGATGCCTTGAGATTGCACTAGGGAAAGACCCTGTTTCTATTCAAGATTTTAGATTCGGTCAACAGTGGGTAACGCAGAATCTGACTCATATGAGTTGGTCCGAATTACCACACCATATCAACACACTAAGATGAGTACTAAGTTATTAGAAGTAGTATCAATTGTGACAATTAGGCATAACGAATACGATTCAAGAAGGATGAACTCAGAGCAGAAAACGTATAATATAACTTTTATATCCAGGATCTCGAGATGAACAGAGTGAATAAATCTGCACCATTGCAACGGATTCTGAGTAACTATAATGTTTTGAATTATTTGAATTATAGCACGAACTAAGAGTCCCAGAAATAACGCAATTGAATGAAGAAATGAGACACAAACACAAACGAATGTATTGTATTTGGAATTCGAAATCAAGCATTCAACAAGTACAAAGGTATCATTAGTTCATTCAAACACCACAGTAACATCATCCAACATCTATACGAAATCGTCGCAATAATCATCCATATTCCAGACTGGGTAGTAAACAGCCATTAACATGGTCCAGACCAAGTTAATGACTTCATGTACTGATTCCGACTAAATGCCTTCGTTTAACTTTTTTTATTTGCTACTCTTTCTAAGTCTATATAAATTGGTAAATATAGTTAGCGGGTACGTGAGCATAAAAAGTATCTACTTAATACCAAAGTAGGAAGTATATGATATCAATGTTATCTATCTTCCCATTAGTTGTTTACACAAGCAGTCAATAACTTATCCATATTCGATCAACACTCCTAAGTATATATGAATTTTTTTGACACTCACTCATTTTTTCCCTGAGTGCTTGCGGATTTTAGTAATTACTAACAATATGCTATCCTTACATCTGGTTTTCTGGCTTTTGAATATCCTCGAGTAAATTCAAACTACTACTAAAGGATTTGGCTTGTTTTAAATACTCAGTTAACGAGGTATTATTTATTGGTGTCAAAAAGAGAGGAATTGGCTTCTACAACACTATATACAGATCATGCCAATAGTTTCATTTATTTACATATCCATAAGCCACCAGCTAACATTAAACTTTACTACAAAATTTTCAAGTATTTTATTTCTTAAGATACTAGAAAATAAGATCATTTGATTCTGAAGATGTATTTTTTATATTTGCGTTTCACAAATTTACCAAATAAAAAATTTCACTCAAGTTCATATTATTCCCCTGATTTAATTTTGCTTGTTTTTATTGTACATTCAGCTTATCCTGTCACTCAATTTGGTGGCACTAAACGAATTATACTGTCTACGATGAGTTGGTTAGGTGGCCGAAATCCAACATTAGGAATATCCTATATTGTTGTGGGCAGTGTGGGCCTTATTTTAGGTCTTATATTTTTTATTCTTCACTTTCATACAATGAAGTAAGTTGATACGTTTTTTGCGAAAGCTTTTATCATTTCTTTTTCTAATATACTAAGTCTTAAAAAGAGGTGGGCAGTCAATGTTGTGCTACTGTTTTTCGTGAAAATCTTGTCTCGGTTTATTTTTTTCTCAGGCAATCCGAGTTATAAGCAGAAAACTAAATGTAAGAAGTATAGTTTGATGAGAGCGAATGAAAAATATTAAATAACATTGAAACTAAATGGTAATAAGGAATGCTTACATCTGCAATACTGTCATTAATTTCATGTCAGCAAATACATATAAAAACAGGAAATAATTCGAACTGAAATTTTTTTTATTTGGGATGGGAATTAGTATGTACGCTGAAGGTGCTTAATAACATGAAATTTACACTTACAGCAATGCTCGGTAACATAACATGTTAGATATACAGAAAGGGGAGGGAATTATTCCTGCATATTCTGTAGTTTTGTTAGTGTTCTACGTTTTTTTATCAAATAAGCCTGGTTCCCTTAATACCCACAACAGTAGTTTATGGGGTTTGAATTTTGTTGGGTTATTATAAAATGAGCAACCACAGTCATGTAATATCAGCTTAGAAATAAATTGTCACGGTACATAATTAGACTAAAACATTTTGAAATTAAACTATAAAATCTTATCCTTGTTAAATCAATATAAACACTAATTAAATAATATTCTTCACTGTTTACTTATTTTTTGTACAGGCATCGATAACCTAGCGTTCGTAAACATCAAATGACTTTTCGTCCAGATCATGATTAGTCATATAAAAACTTGTTAGTCGTTCCATAAGATATGAAGTGGCTTCTAGTGATATATTTTGAAGGGTCCTTTATAAAGTATTTTTTTATTTATAACTTTTACTTTTTTGTGAATTTGTAATACTCACGCTCTTAAAAACAAACTTTTGAATGTGATATTTCCAAGATTTCTGGTATAATATACTATTCTTGTCCATGCTTCGATTAGTTTTTCTGTCGGGTAATTTGTTACACGGCAGACATACATCTTACCTGTGGCTTCTGTTATTAAACTTTAGTTTAGTCAGTCCATCTACAAAGTAGGACCAGGCACATATATGCTTTGGTACAAGTTTCTCTACCTCATTAGCACAAGGTGAACATATTCATAATAGTTACTTCAATGGTAGTAATATATATAATGAAAAGATTGCATATAAGGATTTGATATAGGGAAAGAATCAGTTCTTATAAATGTGTAATTTTAATTTCACGGTTTAAGGGAAGACAAAGATTGTACACACTTACACCATTGTGATCGATTCTGAGCCATGTCACACCGAGTTTCCAACCACTGGTTACGATAGTTGCGCGGAACTCAACCAAGTAGTCTGCATCTACTAACATGGCTCAGACCGGAAGTTAGTGACTTTATGGACTGATGCCACGTTTTGGTTTGAACGCCCCTAAATTTCTTCCATCCGTCTCCAACTGGTTAGCATTGCACGCCGTGGGAATCTAGTCCAACTTGTCATTGTTTTAGTTTCCTGACTCCTAATTGAGCACCAAATGCTCTAGATTCTTTCGATCTACATTGGTTGGTTACGGCTCACTACGAAATCCCTCTAGAAGAAACGTTTCTTGGGATGCGTTGCATGTTTGGGTAAGCCCATTTGGGGATACATGTTTCAACCACCTCAGTCGACAAGAATTTATTGTCTTATCAACGGGTTTCCCCAGTTTTTACCTCTAGTACAAATACTGCTCGCTAGCAATTCTTTAAAAATGCCTACGATCAAACACTTGCAGCCTGCTCATGTCGAATGCTCTCGTAGGTCGCAATTCACAACCTTTGTGCCAATACAAGGCGAAACGACACACAATACGAGACGGTATAAAAGATTTATAGCTCAGGTAGATTTTGTCGGAGTCTCGGTTCTTTAGATGGGAGGCTTAATCGTGAAGCTTTCATTGTCCTTCTCAACATCAGGTATAGTGAGTTAATTTCTCACCGTTCAATTCGCTCAGCTATTCTCCATCCCGTCAGGGAGTTGGCTGTTGTTCAGAAGAACAATGAAAGCTTCATAATTAAACCACCTGGCTCAGAGAAAGAAACCCCACCACAAAGTTACAATGTATTTGTTCTTTGGTTGATGTACAAGCATTTCGCCTGCACTATAGGAATTACTAGTAAACAATAGGTAAACGAGACTTGGGTATACTGTATCACTACTTTGTTAACCACAAACACAACCCTCGAACCAGCAATCTTTCCTAGGAGATAAAATGTCTCCAAAAATACGAAAATTTTATCCGGGTTTAAACCACATATTCCTGAATGTGAGGACTGGTGATGCCATCTGGCTGTTCAACGCAAAGATAAAGCCGGAGTCCTAACAGTATATTGGTACCGTTTGAACATTAGATTTCACCGAAGACGAAACGCATGGAAGTCACACAAAATATTCAGTGGGTGCACTTGAATAGTATGAAGAAATACGACAAAACTTGCAAGTTTGTTAAATAAGTGGTTTAGTAACGAATTAATCAAAAAGCTTACATATGAATAATCATTATTAGTTCGACCATAGTCAAGGGGAATGTAACTTGACCATATATTCAGAAACGACAAAAGGGAAACTAATTCGGAATATGTTTAATATAAAATTAAACCTTGCTTTATGTACATACAGATTGTAGGGTTAAGGAAGTATACAATAAGTCTGACAAACAAAATGAACATCGTAAATATGCGTACATAATTGTTATAAGAAATACTGATATTGAATCCGGACTGAAATACGACCAATAAAATAAGTTAGAATACTCCTTAGTCATCCAGTTCATGCAGTTGGAACCGTTCTTCATCATACAAACGAGCTTGGACAACACGACCAGCAAAATAGCGTTGATTTAGGGCGCAGCAAGCAGCTTTAGCGTCATCCGATCGGTCAAACTGAATAAAGATGCGAACATCCTGACTTGTCATTATATGAATCAAAACGCGTAGAACAGAACCGTAGTTCCCACACTCCTCCATTACTTCCTCCTGAAGTTCGTCGTCCACTTCATTAACACCTACCATATTCTCGAGCAATAAAACCCTAATAGGGACAATAAGCAGACAAATTAAGTATTAAGACCACTGAGTATAAAAGTATACTGAATGAAAAGAGTACAATCATGAATCCACTTAAATAGATTTTGAACCTCGAGGTAATCGTCATCTATAATTATCAACACATTTAATGTACCCTAAGTCAACGACAGACTTTTACCGCCAATGAGTTCCAGTTAAATAAACTTCCTTATTAACAGCGTGCAGCAAGTCAGATCTAGTTTCTTTTCCATAATTTGAGTGTAAATAGTAGGATGTCTACTCAAACATAAATATTTAGATAAATATGAACCTATTTTACTAAATCCATTCAAGCATATTCGATTTTATTCAGTACTTCGGAACACTGCCGAAAATTTATAGTGGTAAAGTAGGCAAACAGCTACATTACTATGTTGAAGAATAGGCACATATTTTGCAGTTTGTATTGAGTTGTAGATCTACTAATATGCTTATAAAATATGGTTTCCAGTAACTTGATAAAAGTGATTCCTACCTAGACATACTAATAGTAAACACATCTTGAGAGTCTTCGACATCGTTTAGGTGAGCGGTTACTTCAGTGTGCTCCCCGACCTGATCTTCAGCGGGGATTTCAGGAATTTCCTCTGAAGCAGTTGGGACAGGGATCGCCGAGTCGTCGTCATCATCCCAGACGGATGCAGTTGTGACGGAAATGACATCTGAATAACACAGAAACCAATGAGTTAGATAAATTTAAATTCACAAAAATAAATTTCATTTCGATTTAATGACAGTACTATGCATAAAGCTTTGAAAAATGATAAACGCTGAATCAGTCACAGAAATTGATTTTTAGGAATTAGTTACGAAAAGAATCCCGTTGATTGATAAGTTCTATAGTTGCCTCAGGAGGGTTTTAACTTTGTGATATTCGTGTGTTACAACTTGCACCGGTCTGGATAGGATGCAATAAATGATACTAAGAAGCCATATAAAATACGTCATTTATACTTGGTTTCCAAGGTCTGTTACGCAAAAACATGGTTACGAAGAGTTATATAGCTCGGACAAATCAACAATAAGTTATTCTATTTTAGTATTCGCTTAAATGTGTTCAATACAAGATATCTACGAGACGAGACAGATAAATTGAATCATAGAAACAATTTTCTAAATCAAAGTAAGTAGAATCATCAGTTAATTACAAACTTATATACACAAGTGTAACTCAGTTACTTAGCAGAGCCCCAAGATCATCATATCACCTATCCCAGAAGAGAATATTGGGTTTGCGGAGAGTTTTAGTTACAAAGACATGCTTGAAGTACTTATTTATTTAAACACAAACATTAGTACAAGGAAGCACCAAATAGATTTGTGCGAGGACTGGGATACTGCCCGGGCGCCTAAACAGAAGCAAGTGGTTTGCTTAGGGGGCCACACCCCTTGAAGTACTTTAATATCACCACATTTCTTTGTCTTTTTGTTTTTTTTTATCTTCTGCATTTTTAGTTTAAAGTTTAATAAAAACAGTAGAAAAATATACCATTTATTCCCTATTTCCTGCCTCCTTTATTAGTTGGATAATTTAAAATGTAATGATAGAAACGTTCTGTTTGTTCTCGATGCGTAATAATTGGTAATTCAGCTCACTCTCGTGAAGTGATTGTTTAATCGGTCACCTTATACATACCAATATTTCTATATATCGCCATAACAGCAGCAACATTTATCATTCACAAGTGATATTAATCCCTTTTCATCAGACTTGACAGAGAAGATCGGGAGGAGGATAAGCATTTGAAAGGAATAGCCCAGTATGTCGACTGAATTAGTTTATTTACATACTCTGTTCAATAAACAAGTGAACTGGTTTACTGAGATTGTTAGTCGGGATCGTGACAAGAGATGGTTGATGGGGAAAGCTTACGTTGGGAACATTAAACATGTGCAGTCTTTTAGGTTTTGTGTTATAAACTTTTCCATTTTATCAATCTGCGTACTTGGTGAACATACCATGTACACCCTTTTGACGCTTGTTAGCAGAATGGGATATTTGCAATTCTACATATTGTCTTTTATGTTGCGGAAATAGAGCAAATCAAAATGTTTTCATATAACTGGCTAGTTAATTATATATTGGTTGAGACGAAAAACGTTCTTTGAACGGATTGAAAATTCTCTTTAATAAAGAATTACCTTCTATTTGCTTCTCTTCCGATGTTGACGTTACATTGTCCCCTACAGAAGTAGGAATAAATACACCAGGAGGCGGGAGATTTTGTGCAGCTGCAGGAGGTCCAGAAAATCCAGTGGAGGTTGTAGGACGATTTGTCTGTTTAGATTTAAGGAGTGTGATTGAAAAAGTTTGTGGAAATGGGTTATTGAACCAAAACTCAGCATTTAAAGTTATCTATGGGGTAGGTAGAAGCCTGACGAAAACAGTGAACTTCTGTCTTAGCATTTATGAATCCTTCCCCAAACATTTAGAATAAACAAAATTGTGTGTACAAATGAAACTTATTCAACCTCTTCTTCTATAATGGCCTTAATCACAAGTTTTCCGAAGTAATTACCCTATCCCTATTTCCCTACAGACGTTTTACCTTTAGCTGACTTATTTTGTTTCTGCACTGTCTATGATTAAATTTTATCTCACCATGTCACTCAACCATTTTGAATAATTACTATTCTTTATAAAAACGTTTATGGAAATATTGATGAATATTCAAGATTTCAACAACTAGGTTTACAGTTTCCTAACGAGGACATCATTTCTTGTAATTTTGTATTAAGCTCGGTAAATTTGATAAACATATTATTGATAACCACTGAAAAAGGCACAAATTTGCGACTGTGTGGCTTTGAAAGTGAATTGGCGGAAAAAAGAACTCGATTTAACCAATTACTTTTGTTTTTATAATGAGTGTATTCCATTTAATGGATTGTGAATCAATAAATTGTGAGAGAAAATAAATTTTGCATTCAATACCCGATTACTTCTAAATGAAACGTGTAAAATCGAACATTTAAACAATTACACTCACTTAAAAACCTAATAAGTCCGTAATTTGGACTGCAACAAGTCAATACCTATTAGAATAGTTAAATATTATGAATAATTTAAATAATACATTCATGACAAGTGTAATGGTGTTATTCTACTATAAAACTATATTCAACAGTTTAACAATGTGGATGTAGCAGACTAGTTAGTCCAGTTATTATCAATGTAGAAACTGGCACGAGTGTGCGTCAGTCAAAGTCTGATAGTCTTAACTTAATTGGTGACTGAACAACCTACGAAACTAGTAACTTACAAACGTCTATTTCACAAGTTGAAATCATGAGTCAGTTGAAGCTAGACCACCATTGAAAACCTGGAAGCACTGGACGGCCGTTTCGTCCTAGTATGGGACTCCTCAGCAGTGCGCATCCACGATCCCGCACCACGCGGGGCTCGAACCCAGGACCTACTGGCTTCGCGCGCGAGCACTTAACCATTCGACCACTGAGCCGGCATCCAACGGTGTTAATGTCTAACTTCAACCAATCCACGAAGTTGCGCCATCGAACACCAATGTCTTCAGTGAGCTGATATCTCACAACAGACCTGGTGGTCTAGCTTCAACTGACTCATGATTTCAACTTGTGAAATTTACTAAAATCTCCACAAAAACTCATTCTGATAAAACGTCTATTTCACCAGAAAAAAGCGTGTTTGTTGGTCAATTGCAGTATTTCTTAAAATCAGTTCATTTGAGGACTTTGATCAATTATTTGGTCTTGTGAGCAGTTATCAGATTGAATTTTATTATTTTCCATCACTTATTTATCACCATTTAAATAAATGAAACATGTTTATAATACATCCAAAACCCTTCTCTATAACGTCTTAGTTCACTGTGGTCAGAAGAAGCAAATCCTTTAAGCAGCTGAACAATTTCCCTGTTAACCAACTGGTTACAAATGTCCTAATACTCTATAACATATAAACTTATAGCGTTCATTAAAACTCTACTCAAAATGACAGAACAAACGAAATGGAACAGGTTCATGTACTCAGCTTTTAAAAACCTAAGTATGACGGTTAGTGATATTACTGAGCTGCTCCAAACCGAAGTAAGTGAAGTATGACTCAAACTCTGAACCTACTTAGCCTTTAGCTAGTAAGTTGGGTTTGGGAAACTGGTTAATAGCATTAGCCTTCATAGCTAGTGTGACTGTAAACTAAGTATCAAAATTTGCTCATGATAACTAGGTTACACTGAAGTCAAACCAGATCAACGGCAGGGTTTTTAGAGATTAGAAAAATATATTGGTGAAACCATATAATACTGACGGCCTTAGGTGATCAGATTCAAGATTTTGGGTATTAACTATCAGGACGAACGCCGTTGCCGGTAACTTGTCGCTGAAGATCATGTTTTTTACTAAAGCTTATATGAACTGGATTGTGAATTTCTTGTGGAACAATGTGTTATAGTTTAGAATTAAGGTTCTAATGTGTTAGAAGTTAGAAGTACTGTGTTAGGGTTAGGTAGTAGGGCATGAAAGTATAAAAGTTAGGAGTTCGTGTTAACGAATGTTAGGTTTAGGATGTTGAGGTGCCACTAGCTCCAATCTAATTTACCAAAATCTAGCTATAAGTTTACTAATTGTGCTAAAATTCCAAATCCTCTGTAATTTTATCATTTTTAAAAACAGAAGTGTTTCACAAAAAGTGCATCCTGATTGGGTTGCTCTTAAAATTCCCAAAGCCTATCAATATATTTAGTGTTCAGTCGACTAAGCATCCTTGAAAAATTAAATCAGAACCATTCAAATATCAAACCAAAAGGTTCGGTGAACGATGAGGAACACTGAGTACGAAAAAATTAGATAATAGACTATATAGATGAAAGATTTTTTACCGTATCACTTAACTTTTATTAGTCAATATTGTCCACTTTAATGAAAGAGCGTACATGTTCGTTTTTTAACAGCAAATCCAGTAGCTGGAACAATGTATTGATAGAGTGATCGACAAACCACACAGACTTCTACTCATTTTACCAAACTTGCATTCAGAACATCGGAAAATCATGAGTGATCACCAGGAGTTGTTTATTTAGACACAACTCACATGATTGTGCAAGTAAAACACAGGACTAAGAAGCATTACAAACAAACTAGGACTTTTTTATGCATAACAGTTTGTAGTGTCAGTCATTATTTTAAGCCCATATATCTTATTCTAGCTTTCGGACATTCCATTCTATTCATTCTACTTGATTCATATTTTAGCCTTGTCAATTATTCGTTTATCAGTCTTGACTGTTTTTATATGAGCGTATATGTGTGTACACTTCATATCCCATGTCTCATCACATGTTTGTAGTTTATTTTTGTCTGACTATAAATATTGAGTAACGCTTAACTGAAATGGAGTTGGCTTCCCAGCCATCTTCCCTGCGTGTCATTTTGCTTTGCTCTGTTTCATTCGCTTCATATACAAAATATATGTATTCACAAATCAATTCTCGTTATTTGACTTATTTAATTTTGTTATTGACTAACGTGATTTAAGTCGACGATGATATACGAGAAAAGGCGATAACAATCATTTATACGATCTAAATAGGAGTCAGATCCACGGGCCACTAAGAGTTCAACAGATTTATGGTTGACTGGTTACAATTTCGAAATAGTATAAGACATAGTAACCACTGACGAGTCAAACAACAGTTCATAATTAGAACTATATAAAAATACCATGAAGAAACTGCTTGGTACTCTTCGAAAAAATACCATCTCTTCAGTTTAGCAGATGGAGAACCTCTGCTAAAGTATAGGTGAATTGTGTAAGCAGGTATGAAAGCGAAAAGTAGAACCAGGGATTATATCCAATCGAGCGACTTTTGTACGATAAACTCGGAGATTAAGAAGCAAACTTTTGGTTTAAGTTTGAGATGAAAAATAAAATAATTCACTTGACCAGTCCCCAAATCAGAACATGGTTGAATAGGGGCGTAACTATGTCCCAAATAACAAGGTTGGATGGAAGTAGGAATCATAACAAGAGGAACGGTAGCGTATATATAATCGTTACATAAGATCTTAGAGTCTTTTCCAAGTACTCGCTAGTGCTGATTTGTTAAGAAACGGCCAATCAGAGTGCCTCAACACAATCCTGCACGGGATATACTTTAATTCAGCCTATATCTCGCTAACAGCTATCTTTTATGATTATAGTCATTATGATGATATCACATTTTACATCTATTGACTTCTTAGTATGTGGTTGATTGTTCTCTTATTGATTGCTTACTTGATTTATCTTGCTTTGCTACAATGTTACATCTAATAGCTATATATAAATGTGAAGCATATTATCTCGAACCAATTCCTTTCAGATGTCGCAGGAAATTTACATCACTTTATACCCATGTTCCTAAACGAATCTGTGGATCAATAATCAACAGAATACAGTAAATAATATGGATTCAAATGCCAAAAAGGAAGATGATAATATATTTACTTACTCCATTAAGGCTGTTCGAACTAATTTCCTCAGCTGACAGTGTCATAACTTTAGCGGAAATTGATGCGGCTGCAAACGCGACGGCCGAAGTAGATATTGGATTAGTGGAAATTGTGTTTAAACTTTTGTTAGCATTAAGTTCGAATGGAAGAGGAACTCCTTTGGGAGTAAGTGCGCGTCCAACACGAAGTTGTTGTCCCGCCAAGTCGAAACAATTCATGCTTGAGACGGCCGCGATAGCAGCTTCTTCTGATTCGAAATCAATGTAACCGAATCCCCGATGACGACCAGAACATTTAGGATCTGGATACAAGCTGATCGAATAGCGTAGGCAAGAAGTTGCGGAAAATTAACGTCACCAGAATTCTTAACCAGATGGTAGACAGCACCTAATGGCTTGACTATCATAAATTAAAACACGCAGTACGAAAAAGTGCTGGGTTGATTTTTTCTATTACAGTAAGATGTACACCATAAAGTGTAGGCATAGGTGCTTCAGACCTTATACATATATACACACTTCAGAACAACTACTTGGTGTTAAATATTTATTAGTTGAAATTTAACGAGAAAAACTCAGTTCGCGTTGTACTCAAGGATTTCAATAGCCAAATTGGATGTTAAGAAATGCTATAAGTAGCAACATAATACTGATTGACGCACAAATGGAAAAATACACTTATCGAATAAGTAATTAACTAGCAAACACATCACGTCAAATCTGATAGTTATTATATAATCCTGCAAGGTAACCAGAATGAGAAATTTGTTCACAACACTTAGAAAGTGAGTTCGTTAGAACTCTAGAGAATGACGGAAGGAGTTACAAATATTGGATATCAACGGTCTTGATCAATAGTAATAACATGTATCAACACTAACAGCCAAACAAGTCACGCGAGGACCTAATTACAGCACATTAGTCAACTCTAAGGATAGATATTTATACAATTAACCGCCTTAGCAGGATAACCAGTGTCGCGAAAGCTAAGTTTAATTATACGGATGTACTTGAAAAGTAAGTAGCTGTGAATCTGAAATTCCAACCTAATTAAATCTCATCAATATTTGTCTTTTAAGGATAAAATCAAACTCAAGACTTATATACTCAAGGTATATGTCAAACTTCACAGTACTTATGAGAGTTTCATATGAATGAGTCATTTCTTGGGGTAAACTAATTAGTATCCAGCCCAGTGGTAAAATTAACTAATTAAAAATGGAACCTAAAAGGTGAAAACTGATAGGATTAGCCCTACGACTACAGACTAGTTTGGTGATGATCATCTTTTAACCAACTTAGTACCAAATTAAACGCCTGTAATTTACTAGTTCGGGGCTTTATCGTTGGAGCCAAGAAAACCCAATTTTTCAACGTCTGAATCTGACTTCAAATAAAATTTCCTTTACTGTTATTTTAACGAGAAGCAGTCATCTAGATATGTTACATCACACTACCTGCTTACTTAGGCTTTTATAGTCCCAACACCAATCAGACAGAATGGGTGCCTGATTGGTTGTTGAGGCGATTAAAGACATTAAACGATTTGGGAAGAACGTATGCCGGTTCAAGTTGCCAAATCTCAAATCGAAGGGAAATCAACTAAATAAGAAAGAGGTAAGTATCATCATTAACACTAATGCAAAACTAATTAAAAATGGTTTTTGTATCTAACCGTTACAAAATACATTACACTATTAGTGAATTCAATAACAAATATACAAGGCAGAAATTCAGTGCCTAGAGTGGTCACTTGATCATAGTTTACCTGCAGCTGTTTACTTTTCCAAATGCTTCAAATACAGTTTGAATATCAGACTCGGTTAACTCTGGATGAACTGAAGCAATGTATACACGAGGCTTAGTACTAACTTCTGCGCGTAGTTCGGCTTCTAAAGCAGCAGTTTGAGGAGCATTGCTTGGTCGCCCGACCTGTGATATATGAGTCAGCAAGAAAAAAACATTTAATTTGCTAAAATAAGTTAACAGAGCAGTGACAAAATATCTTATCTGGCTAGCCGACAAAATGAACAGAAGTGAACACCTCTGAATACATTCAGAACCTGAACAATCTGACATACCGAATTTCGAGTGAGACCATAATTTATGGACGACCTTTAGGCGACGCTAAGGTGACCTTAAGGATGTCCAGCTGTTAACTAGGACTAAATGAGGGTTATGAACCAATGCAAGGAATTAGAATTGACTTGTATTTGATCGTTAGGGCTAGGAACTGGATTTAGGGTTTTCATCGCGAATTTTGTACCAGAGTTATCCCTTGACAAACAGATATGAAACCCATCAACTCCATGTCAAACTGATATCGGGAGAAAACGAATTCGTTTTTTCCAATGTACAAACTCACTAAATCTAGTATGTGAAGGTAGAAGTTACAAAATACAACCATGAGATAAGGAAAGATAGTATCATTGCCCAAACAACACGCACCTTTAAGTTTCTGCCAGCCAGAGTGTATCCATTCATTTGATCTAATGCCAAAGAAGCAGCCTCTGGTACCTCGAACTCAACAAAAGCAAATCCCTTGTGTTTTTGTAGAACTGTATCCCAACTAAGAGCGACAGACTTAATCGGTCCAAAGGGTGAAAACGTTTTTCTGATTTCTTCCTCTCCGATTTCAAAACTGATTGACCCAACATAAATTCGACTCAAAAGAATAAGTGCCTGATTCCTTTTAATTGTATTTAAGTCCTTAAACGTGAGAGTAATTTCGACAGATAGATACCTGTTGGTGTAGCTGTGCTGCTTGTTTGCTGAGTGCATTTTGAATACTTTGCTCTAAAGCATACTTCTTTGCCCTTTCAATGGCGAAACGCTGATCATCTGTCAGAGTCAACAGTGTGAAAGGTTCTTGTTTAATATTAGTTCCAAAGTAAATAGAATCCCCCATTGGCATCAGACTAATTATACCACCAGACTTCCGTAACGCGGCCGCAACACTCAAATCTACGTTAATCATACCGATGAATTATAGTACGATAAGCGCGCCTTTAAGCTAAAGAATTGAAATAGTTGATGAGATGTGTCCTAAAGACTGTACAATTAGCAATCTCGATAAATTATGAACAAATAAAATTTTGTTACCAAAACAACGAAAATAATTTATTTTTCTTGTTTGTTCATTGATATTCAGTGATGAACTTTGTTTTGTCTCACAATCTATAGATGTTAATGTGAAGAAATGTTTCGGTCTTTAGAAGGACGAATGGTATGCCACATCCCATAACTAATATCTTTGAAGCAAGCTTTTGTAAATCAGACGATTTCCTTGTGTATACTTTTTGGCTTTATAGTGCAATCACAGGTCTTTGATTTCATTCTGTATCGGAAAATAAGTCCCCAAAAATAAATGGTTCTGTATGTCGTTTACATTTATGCTGACCTCATTAGTTCTATTGGACACACCTAAGCTGGAGGTACTTGGTCACGCACCCACACCAGATCTTGAGTGGGTGTGCCGTGCCTCACATCTCTTGAACTAGTGGTCAGCTTAGACCAAACATTTCTCGATACATCGACAGCTTTCCAGACATATCTTCGGGCCTCCTCATTTGTGACTTCTAATCTGAGTGTATTGCCACACTTCGACTAGAAAAGTGTTGCATGTGAAGGCATCATCAAACCCCGAATACTTGCGGAATCTTCAGTCTTCTTTGGATACACAGCTGTAGAAAATAAATAGTTTTTAAAGTACTCGATATCTATAATAACTTCACTAGTCTTACTGTAAGCATCCTAGCTAAAGGCGCTCGCTTACCCTTCAGTACTGGATCAAAAGTGGATATTGTGTGCTACTTAACCCCTGTTACAACTAGTCAGCTTGACTCATATGCTCCTCGGAATATCGGTTATCTTCTAAGTGTATCTTTGAACTCCTTTGTCCCTAAAATCTGATTTGACCGGCTCTGGGAAATGTCTGCCCTGGAGGTTTTATGGACGACAGCGCTGCTAAGATCTGGATGTCTACGACATATTTAGATGGTTTAACGACGCGGCTGTATACACACTGAATTCGAATGTTGGCTAGAGGTTGGTATGTTTTTCTTAGAAATTAATGAAACACAACTGTTTGAGCGAAGAATATTCTTTTCAATAACTTCTCATCAAGTTCTACAATTATACATCCAAATTAATAACCCATAAAATTGGCCAGATTTAAGGCAGAGTATATAATTTGGAAATTGTAATATGTGAATTGAGAACTGTTGTTTGATACATGAAATCAATTCAGATCGTTAATGTTGGAGCTGTTTAATATGAAGTATGAGAAATAATATGTGAAATAAATGGTCGGAATAAATATGGTCAACATGGGGTGATAGAGAAAATAATGGAATAACAATCGGAAATTACGTAATATGTAGAATAATATGAATTGGGTCAGATATAGTAGATTTAGGGAGGATATTGAATAAATTTTTCAAAAGGTCACCAAGTGTAAAGATAATGATAATAATGATAATCTTAATAATAATGGTAATAATAATAACAACAGTAATAATAATAAGTTGAGGACATAAAATGAGCATTAAGCAGGTTACGTCACCATATTATAAAATTAATTATTAAATAGTTGGCCCCGAAGTTGGCGAGGGCAAAAGGAGTGGATGAACATATTTTTTTTTCGATACAGAGCTCTGGCTTTTTGGTCCGAGCAGCAATTGCTTCAGCCGTCTGTAGGATTCGCAGTTTGACGGAATTAGGTAGACTGCTGTTAACACGATAGATTGTTGTGAAAGATTGCTCAGTGTTGGCTGTATGTCCTGTTTGAACACCTTTGCTTAACCACACGAGGTGCTCATGAGCCCGAATGTACAAATTCCTAGAACATCTGCCAACATAACTTGCTCCACAGGAGCAGTTGAATTGATAGATACAGAAGGAGGTGGCTAGTTTAGGTAATTTATCTTTCAACCTCAGAGTGATTATTGGTCGTGTGGAGAATATTAGTTGTAGTTTACCCGAATTAAAAGTCCTTTGAATTGATCTGCTTAAGTTAATTCTTAGTACTCGAGGCATTGCAAGCGTATATACAGAGGCTTTTGATTTACAGTTGAGTATTCTGTGTGCTGTCTTTTATTGGCTATGTTTATATTCATAAATTTCTCGGGATACCCATTTTCCTTCAGGGTTATGTATAATGACTTTTTTCATCTTCAGTTTTATCCACAGAGCATATAGTCTTGATTCTATGATGCAGTGTCTTGATAAGGTTCCTTTTGTGTTGTAAAGGGACAAAACTAAGAAAGTTTGTATATTGAATTAGTTTTAAGTATGCCGGGCTGCTAGAATCGGAAACTTTCATACTACCGGACGGAAGACTGGTTGCAATATGAAGGATTATAAGGTTAGTGTTGAGGATGGGTAAAGGAATAGTTCATACGTATCACATGAACTGGTAAAGGCTTAAGGATAGTAGATAAGGTAAGGTGAAGAGACATGGGTTGGTAATAATAATGATAATAATAGCAGCAATTATGGTGTTAATAATCATAAGTTGTGAGATGTGCACCAGGTACAGCTATCTCAGGCGAAGGACGACAAGCCATGGGTGAGTATGTGGTTAACAAACTTATTCTTAATGTTGTCAAATGAGGGGGTTGTGGTCACTTTGGTTGGTCGAGCATTCCAAGTGAGTACTAGCTGTTGGATGATCAGTTCATTGTGGTTTACCTCATAAGGCGAAATGTTAAGCTTCGAGTATGATACTTTTACTGAGATGATCTGAATTACATGATATTTTATATACCATTATGAAGTTAACTCACTTCCCTCTGCAAGTCATTGGGAGCAATTATAAATTACAAACTCAGGTTTATCCTTTAATCTTGTGACCCATTTTGTTTCACGCCTGTATGCTTGCTCAAAGAGATCCATATTCGCATGGTGGGGGCGGGTCTTGAGATATGGTTGGATGTGGGTTTTGACTGGTGTCTAGAAGAGATAGGGGGTCTTGTTGCCTTCAGAAGTAAAGGGTTACTTTTACTTGGACTGCATCTCACTAGTGGTTGTCTCTAGTGTCCTGGCGTTTTGTAAGCAACAAACCTAGGTTCTTCCCAGTCGTTGCTTTAGAGAGGCGGTGACAGCTGAAGGAGTGGTCACCCAATCCCATCACTATCTTACTATTCCGTGTCAATACGGCGTTTGTGGCGCAGGAATTAACTTTTCTAAAGCCTTTTTGAGTTTTGCGAAAGAGCTCGTAGACATTTGTAGACTCCTGTTTTCGATTGTCCACCGTACGTTCTAATGATCTTGAGAGCACTGGGAGGAGATTTATATCCATGTAGCAGTTCGAATCTTTTAAGCTCCTCTCTAATGGTTACGAAAGGAATCGCTGAATTCCGTTTCCTTAGCAACTGCCAAAAATTTAAGGAATGCTGAAAAAGGATTATTTATTGGGTGGCAAAGGAATTTGGTGCATTTTTGTAGTACTAAGTGAAAAGTGTCTTTTCAATCTTTTATCATTCCCTGGATCGAATTTTTTGCGGTCTACTCAATATTAGCTCAGGCTTCATTCACGCACCACTCCTCACTACTGTCACTTTTCGTATTAGTGTGCAACTGTTGATTCGTTGTCCGATTCATTTACTTTGAAACTGCATACAGAGAACATCTGCTGCTTTTAGGTTGTCAGAAATCATTTTTTGAGGTTCAGTGATGACAAAGCTTCTCTTTTTCGTGCTTTTTCTTTAGGGAGAAAATCATCGACCGTGTTTTGAGCTTGAATGTAGGTTCAAGGACCAGTTTGTTTGAGAGACCTCCTAATGTTTCTTTCTCTTATATCGGGCCTCCTTCCGGGCGTTACGCACAAGTCTTCTAGTGAGGCCCTCCACCTCTTCCAAGCATTTGTCTGTATATGAAGCCGTCACTCAGTGTCGAGCTTTACAAAAGGTTTTCTCTTATTTGGATTATGAAGCCAAGAAGGATATATTTCGAGGTGGCCTAGTAAACAGTGATTCTTGTAACTGCCCAGTGTTCGTCATTTGATAAGTCGACTCTTTTCTGTGGTCATGGACTACGTTGAATGTATCACACATCATAATGTTTTTCTAGAAACTAAAGATGCTACAAGTATTAGGAGTTTGACGACACCTTAATCAGTGGCACCTTTCATAATCTAAACGTGCCAACCCAGTGAAATCAGAAGTTAGAAGCAGAAACGCTCAAAGATGTATTTGATGGGATATCGATATACCGAGAAATGATTAATCTGAGCTTGCTAGCAGTCATAGGAGAAGTGAAGCACGGTGTACTCACTCGCGATCTTATGTGGATGCATGACCGAGCGCCTTCAGCTAGGTGAGTCCATTAAAACTAACAAGTTAAGCACCAAATGTAGAAGACTTACAGAACTATTGATTTTTGGGATTTATTTACCGCTACAAAACCATATTTGATCTAGTCACAGAATGATCATTATTGAGAGCGTCAACACAAACATTTCTGACCGGAAGTTGACTGTTTGACAATGGTTCAGATGCTATTATTCGACATTTCCAACCTTAAAACTGCCAACATAATGAGTTAACATATATAAGCGAACAGTATTGTCTTCAGTCAGTATCTCATTAGGTTTTATTCTGATATACTGTAATGTTTACATGCACGCACAAAATTATTTAACCAGTCACCCAAGCTTATAATTCAGTGATAACGGTGGAATAAATTACATAAGTGACCATAATAAGTGAAGGGTGCGAATTCATAGTTTGATGACAGGTGTACTGGTTGTGATAAGAATAAAGAATGCTTGAATTCATGATACATAATGAGAAATCGGTCAGTGACTTGAGCAAACATAAGTGCTGAAATGACATTCATAAAACTGTAAGATTACATAGCGAGAGATGTTCATATAATTGGACAGTAAAGCGTAATGTATGAAATAGAAGCAAGGGGGTGAAGAGAGATAAATGAACAAAATGTTTGTAAAACATTGATAAATAAAATCGCTTATTAAGGCCATGTGTAGATAAAACCGGTAGGAATATGATAAATTGCTTCAAATGACCTATTGTAGGATCCAAACTACGGTTTGGATGTTGA